CTGCGTGAGGACCTGCGCCTCGGCGACGCCTCCCTCCCACCCCGCCTTGGCAGGGCCCACTGCGGCTGCTCAAGCTGACGTCTCTGTGAAATGTTTCACGGATGCCACCCATGCTCACCTTCTCCGCGCGGAGTTGGTTGTTTTTTTTTAATAAGGCAACACGACATCGGTTTCTGTTTTTTTTTAAAATATGTCTTTATTGATCTCAGAGAGGAAGGGAGAGGGAGAGAGAGGTGGAAACATCCATGATGAGAGAGAATCATGCATCGGCTGCCTCCTGCACGCCCCCTACTGGGGATCGAGCCCACAACCGGGGCATGTGCCCTGACCGGGAATCGAACCCGGGACCCTTCGGTCCGCAGGCCGATGCTCTATCCACTGAGCCAAACCAGCCAGGGCTGCACGGCGTGCCTTGGCTGTGATCACCACCTCACGCACGCAGTAGGTAGGTGGTGTGCAAGCCGGAGCGGGCAGGGCTGTGGTCCCCCAGCCCCCTGGGCCCGTGTCTGAACGAGGCAGCTTATCTCGGCGCAGCAGCTCCGTGTAGGGACGTGTAGTCTTGTCCCTACCCGGGTGCGGGGCTGTGTACGCCCTCCCCCGCCCCCACCAGCGGGGAGTTCAGTGAAGGACGCTCCGACGCACCAGAGCTGACCGGCTGTAGAAAATGTGCTTTTTCGAAAGACGAGTTCCATCGGCTCATAAATCCTCCTAGGATCTGCTGCAGACTTTGCTTGTGGAGAGGGTGTGAACAGGCCTGGGATCCCACAGCGTCCGACAGACTTCCTTTTAGGGACAGCACTGTGCTGGGCGGGCTGGGACGCTGGGATGGTCTGAAGGAGGCATCAGGCCCTGGCCGCTGTCGCTCAGTGGCTAGAGCGTCTGTCGGCGGACGGAAGGGTCCCAGGTTCGATTCCGGTCAAGGGCACGTACCTTGGTTGCAGGCTCGATCCCTGGCCCTGGTCAGTGCGGCACCCAGAGCTCATCAGCTGGCCACAACGGCCCATGTTTCGGGCCCACAGGCCAGACGGCCTCTGTCCGACTCCTCCGCTCCCCGTAGGAGCTCGAGAGCAGCTGCAGACACTGTAAACAAATGAGCCTGTTCCTGTTGCCACTAAACTTGATTTATTAGAGCAGGCGGCAGAGCAGTCGGCAGGCCTGGCTCCCACACCCCCCTCCCTCGGGGTCACATCCGTCTGACCTCCCTGACCCCTTTCTCCCCACGCCTTTCAAGGCAGCCAGCCTGGCCGGCCTGGGAGCTGTCTCTTTGCAGGCTGCGGTCTGTGCCCCACCGCTTCTCTCCCTGGGGCCACAGGGTGGTCTGTTGGTCAAGTGGTCACCCCAACAGATGGCGGGAAGCCATTTCGGGGTGCTTTGATCTTCCTAGATGTGAGGAGCTCCAGTTGGCCTTTTTAAAAAAATATATTTTATTGATTTCAGAAAGGAAGGGAGAGGGAGAGAGAGAAACATCAGTGATAAGAGAGAATCATGGATCGGCTGCCTCCTGCACGCCCCCTACTAGGGATGGAGCCTGCAACCCGGGCCTGTGCCCTGACCAGGAATGGAACCGTGACCTCCTGGTCCATAGGTCGATGCTCAACAATTGAGCCCCACTAGCTGGCCTAACATGTATTTTTAAAATCTTCCTCTCAACATCTGTACGTGTAGCCTTGCAGACAGGAGTCAACAGCGGACCACGTGCCCTGCTGGTGTGGCTCAGTGGGTGACAGTTGACCTGTGAACCAGGAGGTCATGGTTCGATTCCCTGTCAGGGCACATGCCTGGGTTGCCGGCTCCATCCCCAGTAGAGGGTGTGTAGGAGGCAGCCGATCCATGATTCTCTCTAAGATACTCGCAACTTCCCTCTGGATTTGAGCTGGAGGCAGGCGGCCTCGGGAAGGGCCAGCGTGCTACCCCAGGGGGAGCCTGGCTGAGCGTTAAATCAGCACTGGGAGAAGGAGAAGCTGAAAAACAGATCCTGGTGACATCTGAACCCTGAATCCAGCGGGTCCCAATACTGGACCCTACTCTTCCACTTTGTACTTTCATAAGCCAATTGTTTCCCCTCGCTGTACAGGCCGTTCAAAGCTGATTTTCTATCACTGGCCGCTGAAAGATCCCTAACAGAGAGCCTGCCTCATAATCAGACAGGATTTTGAGAACCCTGTTGGGCTCCGTGTTCAAAAACATGGACCCTCCTGCTTCCTTCTGTTCACTGAAATCCCAAATACCACCTCCCTGCTGGAGCCTCCTCGGGTTGTCCTGAGCCAGAATTACCTACCACTTCATTTGTTGCCACAATAGAGAGAGTATACACTGATTTAGCACTGGTTTTATTCTGCCTTGAAACACAGTAGTTCTTTACAAGTCATTCACCAACACATATTAAACACTCTCTAGGTGTCATTTTTTGTGTCAGAGGTGTTTTTGTGTCAGGCACTCTGCTTAGCACTTCACATTCAACGGTTACATCATTGCATCTCCTAAAAACCCCACAGGTAAGTATGAATAGAGAAGTTCTCCCCTAAATTAGAAAGTGAAGGTGAGACACCAAGATCAAATAGATATAAAATTGCAAAATGAGTTACCAGATGTAGCTTTTAAAAGCAAATTCTTCAGAACTAGTTTTGCAACTCTAATCCTTGAAGTTTCGTAATCCACAAAGAGGCTATCAAAGACTCAACAAGTACTAAGAGAGGGTTTTAGGAAGACTTTTTTGTTGTTGTTGGAAATCCCATGCTGTCATTCACCTGCCAACACCCTCTCTGCCGTACACACACACACACACACACACACAGGGGATGTTCCTTTTTCAATATGCAAGCAGATTATTGCCCTGCCCAAACCCTTAACTGACACGGGCCTTTAAGAACCTTAATGACACTTAAAGCAACAGAATACTAGAGAATCGAGTCTCCTCACTCCTTCTCTGCCTCTCTCTCTCTGATCTCTCTCTATCACCGCGTGCTGGTCTACCACCGGGCCAGCTTCGACGAGAGGCAGGCGTACGCGCACATGAACGGGGGGCGCAAGAACGAGAGGCCCGTGCCTCTGCCCCAGTCCTCCACCTGCTGAAGTGGGACCCGGTCCCACGGAGCATCACCTGCCAACACACACACACACACACACACACACACACACACACACACAGGGGATGTTCCTTTTTTTCAATATGCAAGCAGATTATTGCCCTGCCCAAACCCTTAACTGACACGGGCCTTTAAGAACCTTAATGACACTTAAAGCAACAGAACACTAGAGAATCGAGTCTCCTCACTCCTTCTCTGCCTATCTCTCTCTCTCTCTCTCTCTCTCTCTCTCTCTCTCTCTCTCTGCTTCATAATGGAAAGAACATTTGCCACAAGCCTAGTCGATGGAAGAGAGGGCTGGCCGCCCCCGTGGCCCCCTCTTGCTCCCATGCACACCTGCCTGTCCCCGTGGGTCCTTCCCTAACACGCGTTGGAACGGCATTTTCCTTTTTAAAAACTGTACCTTCAACCTTTTTAGGGACACACGGCATTGACCAAGGGCCATCGTTCATCCCAGGCTGTTGCCGTTGGAACGCTGCCAAATTCTGCCAAAACCCGGGACTCCGTCCCTCGCACCTGCCCCCCTCCCCACCCCCATTTCCTGGTGGCGGGCGTGTGGGGTCTCCGGTCACTCCTGTGACAGCCACGCGGGCGGTGCCCTCCATCCTGTCGTCCCCGGGGATTCTGGGCAAGTCTCACGTCCACGCAGGTCAGTTTGCCTTTGACTAGGTTATTCTCTGGGGGAACTGGACGGACAGGGCCGGGCTTCCCGGGGCCACCTCCTAGCCCCAGGGACTCTGCCGCAGACAGGCCCTTTGAGGGAGCAAAGGTGGCTCACGTGCTAGTCTCCTGCCCCCCGCCCCAGAGCCCCTCCCGGCCCCCGAGGATGCAGAGGAGCAGGGGTTCCCTGGGACAGAGCCCAGTGGTTCACGCAGGTTTTCGAGCAAAGCAATGCAGACACCCCACCCCCCCCAGCCCCGTCTCGGGGAGGGCAGTGCGGGATGCAAGCTGCCCGAGCCTTCGACATGTTCCGTTCCCAGGACTCCGTGGGTCCTGCGGTTCCAGGTCAGACTCGAAACATTTGCGTACACATTTCGTCTTTCACGTCATCACTTTGATAACTTTTTTACGGTTCAGATCCTCATCTATACGTCTGTACAGAAAAAAAAAAAGACGGCTGCTATTTTTATTTTGTAGTTTTCGGTTATCTTTGTGGATCTATTCTATGAAAACTTTCAGGTCTCCCTCTTTCCCTCTCTGCTCTCTCTCTCTAAGCTTCTGCTTTCGACTAGATGCGTCTCTTCCTCTCTCCCCAGGAATGGGCTCTCGTAGATCGGCGTTTGCCATGGACTGCCTGTGATGCCTTTTCATAACTCTGCCCCCCGCTCTCTGCTTCCCCCGCCCCGGCCCCCTGCTAGATCTGTTACAACCTGTAGGCTCTGTGGGCACTGGGCTGGCTGGCGAGGGAG